GATGCAGACGGTCTGACTGGCAAAACGTATTCTTGCAGTCCGCAGTCTGGAGGTCCCATCCGAATGAGCAAATGGCTTGGAGAGTCACCATGATGCTCCCGGACTGTGGAGCGGCGGAGTAAACCTGGATATCCTTGTGATGCGGATCGTGGTGCCCCTGAACGCACCACCTGAATTTCGCGGCGACCCCAGAACCCACCCTCTTGCGGCTTGAACCTCCTCACCATTCGGGACCCTAAAATCCTGTCCGGAAGCCTCCTTCTCACCAGCGCTGCCTCGGCTGCACTCACTATCCTCGCACGCCTGACTCAAGAATGGCCTTCTTCCGTTCTTTGGCGCCCGAACAAAAAAACTGTCTCTCTCGTCCTCGGAGAGAGACTTCAAAGTGACTTCAGCACCCCGACGCGATGGCGGTCCTTTCACGTTTCCCTTGCCCGTGGAGCCCAGGAAAATGCCATCGGCCCGAGAGGCGCCCAAATCGTCGTCGAAGAGCAACCGGGAGCAGAGTTCTTCCCAAAGGAGCTCGCCCTGATCGTCTCCAGGTATTTTTAGTGCCAGGTTAACAGCTCATCATCCTGGTCCTCTGGGGCCTCGCGTCGGGGCGAGCGAGAGCTATCCCTGGCTGGCTCGGCAGCATTGGCACGCTCGACTGGCGCTGCAACTCGGGCTCGACCTAAGCTGTCTGACGCGGAAGCGTTGCCCCTGCTACAAATACAGAACGGTGCGTCATCCAGCAGCCCAGATCTGGCGGCTATCACCTCCCTTGCAGCAATGGCCTCTTGAACTCTCCCGGGGCCCTCCGGGGCCTCCTCTATCGGGGTCATCCTAAGCCTCTGAGCCGGGGGGGGCCCGATAGGGTCGCCACCTCGTCGCACGGTTGGACTAGGCTCGGAATCTTCGAGCACGTCATGAATCCTTCGAACCCCCTCTTTTTCGGATCTGACAGATCCCATGCCGAGAGACATGCTTCCGCTATAGATGGAGAGCGGGCGAGCCGTGGAAGCTCGATCCTCTGGCGCGGGCTCTGGACTTGGCCCCCCGACCTCTTCGGGCATGGGAGGCTCTGGCTCTCGAACGGGAGTTCGAGGGCCAGAGCCTCTTGGGCGGGTTCCTCCAGATCCCGGGCCTCAGGAGGAGGGGGGCCCTCAGCTACGGCGTCCACCGCCCCGACGCGACGTCTGGGATGCTGCGGCCCCTGCCTGAGCTGCGAGAGAGATGGCGAATCGAGAAGCTCAGCGCCAACCCTCTTCCTTGGTGGCCCACCGATCTGTTCCTGACTGCATTTTAAAAGGCGAGATCTCATGGCGACCCATACGGTGGTACCCTGTTGGAAAACCACGGCCCCTCGACCAGTCCACCTGCTCTTCTGACTCCTGGGAACCCCTTTGCTGCGGCCCTGGGCCCCCCCTTCCTCCACGCGTAAACCCACGCTCCAGGAAGGAAAATCCGATCCACGCGTTTCCTGGCCTTCTGAGCGGCCAACTGTCGGCCCCGGGTGCCCATTTCCATCGCGGCCTTCTCGGCCGACGCTGGCGAGTTGGAACTCGCGGCCCCTCTGATGACGTCTCCTATCCCAACCTCGCCCATGGCCTCGTCGGACATCGGCGACCTTGGCAGTCTTGGGTTCTCTCCCCCCGGCGTGAGCGGCGGCCCTTGGCCGCGACAACTTCGCATAGCAGCTCTTCGTTCCTGGGGGGTGGGGGCGGCGCCCTGCGCGGCCCGGGCCGCGGCCCTTTTCGCGAGGCCTCCGCGTCGCTCACATGTTCCGTTCTGCCAAGGAGATTCAGCATCGCTGACGCGTCGGTAAACCCCCAGATGTTGCCCCAAACCCCCTGAGAAAGCCCACTCGAACTGACGGCCCCCGTCAGTCGTCGCAATCTCGGGAACCCCGACGGGTCTGACCCACAACTTCTAGAACGCCCCCCAAACCTCTTCCGAGTTGGCGGCTTTCAAAAGCGCGCACCAGAAGGTTGGAGCCGTAATCTATTAGGTTGAGAACGGGGCGAGCCCCCTCCAGGGCGCAAGTATAGAAAAGGTCCGCCGCAACGAGCTCATCGAAGCGGTAGGTCCTCGGAAGATCCAGTCTCGAGCCGGAGTCTCGAGCCAGAGTCGCAGCTCGGACACTTGAGACTCTGCGAGACCCGTCGGATGACCTCTGGCTTGGCCTTTCCGACCCTCAAGATTATAATGACATGTTCGCTCCTCGGGTGTCCCAGGTTCACATGGGGCTTGTGAAGCTCGTCCTGCGTTTCCATGGGAAGAACTGCTCGATTTTCCCAGGGCCCTTTCTGGCCTCTTCGGGCCTCCTGGTCTCCGGCTCCTCTTCGGAATCGCCCCCCCCCCCCCCATCTATGACATATGGGTCGGCAGACGGTTCAGCTTCGGCGGGCGGTTCAGCCTCGGCCGAGGGAAAGGGGGCGCGAGCGGACTGACATGTAGCTGCCTGCTCGATGCCCTCGGAGAGAGCAGCCACTAAACCTGGGAGAAACATTCAGCCGCTGATGTCCCGGCGCCGCCGGTCAACATCGAATGCGGACGCGTGCCAGGACATGCTCTTCTGCACTGCAAGAGAAGAAAAGGACTGTTGGAGTATAATCTCTGAGCTTCATGGCGAGTCCTCCGCCCAGAGTCCCGAGACCGAAACTGCACTCATCTCCTCGAGTCTCTGACACTCCTGGCTGACTTAGCAGGGCGCCTGTCGACTTCCACTGTCTAGAAAGCCCCGCGCGGATTCTCGATCAGAAACGCGCGACAGCGCGGCATCTGAAACATCGCCACCTGAACAGTCAGCCCTCAAAAGAAAATGCCCCCCTGCTCCACTCGATATCTTTCTGATGGGCCCATCCATTTCCAGTTCGGGACCCTGGCGACCGCAACGCCGCCAACAGCTTCCACACCTGAGCTCTATCTCGAGATCTCCGGAAGCCCCATCCTGTCTTGAGATCTTTCGGGGCCGAGCATGGAAATCCGCGAGGATCCATCTCGGGCGCAACCCTGGGCGGCGAGAACAACTCCAGCATCAGAGCACGACCTTGTCGTTGGAGATCTAGTGCGAAATGTTGCCTTAGTTTCTTCTCCTAAGGTTCTGAGCGCGCCTTCTCGGAACTTTCTAGGGGCTGCCACTGGAGGCTGAACCAGAGACCGACTAGGGCGCGGGCGGCGGTCCAGCAAGGGCCAACTCTCGGGAAAGCTAGAGACTGGGGCCCCAGCAGAGAGCCAGACCGCGACGCTGATGTCGGGGTTCTTGGAGTCACGCAGCCGCGATGCTAGATGAGACGCTGAAGTCCCGGCCCACAATGAGTCCACCAGGGTCGTCGTCCTGCCAGAGCTGCTCGAGGTGATCCTAAGTCGGCGAATCCCGTGAACGGGGCACTCGGCGTCGTGGCTCTCGCGAGCCCTTAACGCGACGTAAGTCATTCATGCTCGGGCCTGTGGGGGCTCGAAGTCATTCCAGGTCCAGTCTCCTCTCTGGCCCACTTCTCCCGGCGAAACTTGCTTTCTGGCCCCCAGGTCCCGCGCCAGGAGCCCAGCACCTGGGATCTCACCCTCAGTTCCTGCCCCCCCCCCCCCCCTCAACTCCGACACCTCGAAACTCTTCGCGGCCCGGGGGCTCGGTTCGGTCCCGCGGGGAAGGGGGCCCCTGAGATCCCTCTGAAGTCCCCGAGGCAAATGGGAAACGGATCTGACGGAGGTGGAGGTGATGTTGATAGGAGGTGGAGGAGGAGGGGGAGGGCGGCCTTTTTTTCTGACAGCTCTCTGCTGCCCTGGTCGGCCTTCGGCTGGAATATGGAGTAGTTCGAGCTGCGCTCGAGCCTGGGCTCGCACCTGGAAAGGCCCGCGTCCGTCTGGAGTTCCCTGAGATTCAATCGTCCTCGACCTTCATGGCCACCTCCGGCGTCGCCCGACTGCTGGGCGACCCCGTCAGACCGCCCCGAATTACCTCCATCAGCTCCCTGAGCTGCGTCCTGGTGGTATCCGATTCTCTCTTCTGCTCGGACATCCACTGTGCGATTTCTGCTCGGCTGGCTTCCTGGTTCCTGAGCAGAGCCTCGAACCCGTCTGCGTTCCTGGTCGACGGCGGGCTCTGGCGCGCAGTCCGGGCACCGGGTGGGAGCTTGGGCGGGGGAGGCTTCTTGGGAATGTCCTCGGGAACGGTCACTGGCTTCCCCACCCCGAGCGCTGCTGGGCGCCCTGGGCCCTGAAAAAATGCAGATCCTGGGCCGTGGGGAGGCCTCGGCACCGGCTCCTTCACGTCCTGGGCGTAGTCGCGGCTCCTCGCCTGAATGGCCATCTGGATCTCCCGCTGCTCCTCTTCTGCCTTGACGTGCTCCTTCTTGGCTGCCAGCCTCTCGGCCTTCATGCCCCTCGTCTCCTCGGGAGTCAGTTTGCACGCGTGTAGTCGAGCCCCGCGCATGCGGCACGTGATCCAGCGGGCGTGCCTGTTCCTGGCTGTCGCCAGAGCTCGGATGGTGATCGCAGCCCTCCCCCTGACTCCCGGCACGGTGCTTTCCCGAAAATTTGGAGCCAGCGCTGCGAGCAGAGGAGACTCCGAGCACACCCTCAGCATGAAGAGCAGCGTCGCGGTAGCACACGGAGCGTAGCGCCCAGTCCACCCAAGTGTCCGAAGGCATGTTCCAGTTCGCCTCTAGATCCGAGTCCCCCCCCTCCGCTGCCGCAATCTCGTCGGCCGCGAGGCGAAGCGCGGCCTGCCTCGCGCGGCGGCGAGTCTCGGCCGGGGCACTGGTGAGCCTGCGCCTCGAGTGAGCTGCGGGAGACGTCGCCCCGTTCCCGGGCGTCTTCAACATCGAGAGAGGTCTCTGGAGAAACTGGCAAAGGCTTGAGCCCAGAGACTGCGGCAAGAGCAGGCCTCAAGCTGTGGCCCGACTGATCCCCTGAGAAGCCCCGTCTGACGCCTCTATCGGGGGAGAGAGGAGAGGAGGGGTGCTGAGGCGCAAATGACAACAAGCCCGGGCGGCGGGGGTCCTGAAACGGCCCCTCGCCTTTCTCCAAGTAGAAGTCGGAAAATCCAATCCAGTAGGCATGCGTCTTCACGTCCTCCGGTCCCTGCTTCCAGTCGCCCTCGAAGTAGCATTCTACCCAGTGGTCGCTGGCGTCCTGGAACTTGCAGCAGGCAGCGCGGCGCCCGGTCAGCCGGTCGAGGGGGGCTGGAACATTCTGCAGGTCTTCCTTGTTCGTCAGATGCCGCCGAGGCTTGACGTGGTGAAGCCGCAATCGGCCAGTCATGATCTCCCAGCTGCCTCTCCGGCTCGTCATCCAGGACGCACTCCCCCCCGACTCCGGCCTCGCGATGCTGGGAAACTTCCTGGCCAGATCAGGATGCAACCTGAACTCCTTCACGCCCCTGCCGATCAGACACATCGATCTACGCCCGGAAGCCAACTTTTCCATCTTCGCTGTCGTCTCTGGGTCCCCGTCGAAGTGAACCACGTTCGCCTCCGCGTCGATCGCGGCCCCATAAGGAAGTCGAGGAGACCGGCCGGGATCGGAAGAGGGCGGGGGCGCGAAGCACCAGGAACTCCAGCGCCCCGCAACGGCCAAAGGACAGTGGGACAGCTGCCTTCGCTATCGGCCTGACTCGGCCTCCGACCCCGCTCGCGCGGGGCAGTTCTCTCTCGTGCTTGGCGCGCACCTGGGAACCTTTCTCCTCGAATGCCTGCTGGAGATTCTTCGGGTCTGGCTCCCCCATCAGCGCCTGGGCCGCCGCGGTGCCCACCAAAACGTGATCTCCCATATCTCGGAACTGGACCCCGGCGAAGCTATCTGTGACCTCGGTGACGCGCTCCAAGAAATTGGCCCAGGTCGGAGAGTCTAAATCGCCCAATGCGAAGAAAGATCCCTCGTTGGAGTTGAACGTCGGTCGGGCCTGAGCCGGCGTGCTCGACCCCTTGGCTGATCCTGAGGCTGCTCCACCTTGCTCCCAATTACCTCTCCGTTCATTATTGTTTCCCGTGTTGTTTTGCTATACGTGTGTCTTCGTTCGTTGTCTCCGTCAGCTCTCATGAGCAGGGTTTCGGAACAAGTTGGTGGGGACACGAGAAACGCGAACAATATCAAGATTCAGGGTGCTAAATGGTGGGGAACTCTCATGCGAAACGCTTGCCCCACCAATACCCCTGGAGGTCGACAGGGATGACTTTTTTTTGACAGAATGTACGGAGGAGTTGTTTGTTGCTGCGGGCCGCTGCACGCACGAGCTGCCGAGGCGATCGGGCGACAGGGCTGCTGGCTCAGAGGGCCAGGCGGAACAGGAGGAAGCTGGGCCGAAAGAGCCAGAAGCCGACGACAAACTGGTATAATCTAAAATGAAATCCAAGAACTCGTACGCGAACCTTTCCTGCATGAGGTCGTTGGCTCAGTCTGGGCACACGTGGCCCAGCAGCCGCAGCTTGGCGAGCAACAGGAAAAGGATGATGACGACGACGACGAGGCGGAATGTCCAGGTTGCCACAATGACTCAAAGACAACTGTCTCCTGGTCTGTTTTGCAGCCCACCGTGCTGAACAACTTGCGTGCCAGATCCCACATAACTGTGGGAATTGCTCCTCGCCAGATTACTATCCCAGTGAGACCCTACCTGGGAGTTGGAGCCCCTAGGAAAGCAGCATTAGTAGTAACAGTAAAGCTAAGCTAAAGCTAAGCTAAAACTAAGCTAAAGCTAAGCTAAAGCTAAGCTAAATATAAGGCAACGCTAAGCTACAGCTAAGCTAAAGCTAAGCTAAAGCTAAGCCAAAGCTAAGCTAAAGCTAAGCGAAAGTTGAGCTACAGCTAAGCTAAAGCTAAGCTGAAGCTAAGCTAAACCTAAGCTAACAATAAGCTAAAGCTAACTAAGCTAAAGCTAAGCTAAAGTTAAGCTACAGCTAAGCTAAAGCTAAGCTAAATCTAAGCTACAGCTAAGCTAAAGCTAAGCTAAATCTAAGCTAAAGCTAAGCTAAAGCTAAGCTAGCTAATGATGCGCTGCACTATGCTGGGCTGCGCTAAGTTAAGCTAAGGTAAGCTAAGCTATGCTAAGCTAAGCTAAGCTAAGCTAAGTTAAGCTAAGTTAAGCTAAGTCTAGCTAAGCTAAACTAAGCTAAGCCAAGCTAAGCTAAGCTAAGCGAATATGAGATAAGCGAAGCTAAACTAAGCTAAGCTAGGCAAAGCTAAGCTAAGCTAAGCTAAGCTAGGCTGAGCTAAGCTAAACTAAGATGATATAAGCTAAGCTAAGCTAAACTAAGCTAAGCTGGGGGAACCCAAGGGGCGCAACTGGGGGAACCGCGGGGCGGATGCCGGGGGAACCGCCCGGGGCGTTTTCCACTGCCCGGCCCTTTAAGCAAACAGAGTAAGAACCCTCTAGGCAGAGCCTAGGTAGGGAATAAGCTAAGCTAAGATGAGATAAGCAACGCTAAGCTAAGGGGACGTAACTGGGGGAACCGCGTGGCGGATGCCGGGGGAACCGCCTAGGGCGTTTTCCACTGCCCGGCCCCTTGAAGCTCTAAAGTAAGAACCCTTCTAGGCAGAGCCTAGGTAGGGAAAAAACGGGAGGTCCAGCCAATCTGGTCCCAGCGGTGGACCTTGCCACGCCCATTTCTGGCACGGGTTTTGAAGACGTGTCGACCGAAGACGCCCAAACGCGCTTTTGCGTGTTGACCCAGCGGTGACATCGCTCGGTTGTCGGCCTGGCTGCCCAGCAAGTCTGCATGCCGTTGCAAGCGTAGTGCCGCGGCATACGTGGAAACAGAAGGCTGTTCGACGGTTGCGTGCCCGCCGCCTGCTTGACAGCGCGGTTGCTGCGTAATCGAAGCTGACGCGTCGCCTCGTTCGGCTCGCAGCGAAAACGAAGCCTCCGCGCGACAAGCTTGGACTGCCGCCTATCCGGATCAATCTCTGTGGTCGGGCACGGGGGCCACGACACAGACCTGGCTCTGATCATGCCTCCAGCGACGTCGCTGAAGTTTTATTACCATCTATCGTACGGATGCGAAGGAGGAGGAGGAAGAGGACAATGACGATGAGCGTTGGGTGATGATAGTAATGATGGTGATGGTGATGATGGTGATGATGGTGATGATGGTGATGATGGTGATGATGATGATGATGATGATGATGATGATGTTGCTGAGGTTGAAGATGATGGTGGCGATGATACTGATAAGTATGATGATCACGACGATGCGGAGGAGGAGGTGATCGGAGACGGGGCTAGTAGAGGATAAGGATACGAAAACACACATACATAAACATGACACGAATACGAATAACAATCATACGAATGATACGCACCACAAGAAGAAGACGCATACTTGTAACACTCAGAAGACTAATACTAACATACCATTAATAACGATGAACCATAGTGATGGCGATGCTGATGATAATGCGAATGGTACAAACGAAGAAGCGTGACTACAACAAGCAGAAAAAGGAGAGGAATACCAAAAAGAGAGGGAGGGAGGCGGGAGAGATCGAGCGAGGGACGGCGGGGGAAAAACAGGGAAAACAGGGACCCCTTCCTGAGAGGGGGAACTTGGGGGATAGACTCAGGTCGGGCGTGTCCCCCCACGGGCGGCTTTTGGGCGAAAAATAAAAGAATCAAAGGATAACTACCCCCAGAGAGTCCACAGAATCATCCAGCAGATCGTCCCCTGACATTTTTGTTTGACTGTTTTTGAATACTCCTCCTGTAGAGGGACACGCCCGACTTGGGTGTCCCAAAACCGTGTGGTGATAGACCCGGCGGTGACCTCGAAATCCGCAAAGACCTCACCGCACGGTCCGTCACCACACGGTTTTGGGACCCTGGAGGCTCCAGTCGCCCGAGACATCCTCGGAAAACGATCCAAGTCCCAAAACCGTGCGGTGACCCCGAATCCCCACCGACTCACCACACGGTGTGGTCACCACCCGGTTTGGGCGCCCCCGACCGACGTGAAGATAGACGTGCACACTCGCCTTCCTCCCCGCGTGGAGCGGAACGGGGCGCCTCTTCGCCGCGACCCGCGGGGAGCCGGAGGAGTCCGTCACGACGCCGGCGCCTGCGACGCCATGGGGGAAGAGGGGGGGGTCCTCCTCCTCCTCCTCCTCCTCCTCCTCCTCCTCCTCCTCCTCCTCCTCTTCCTCCTCCTCCTCCTCCTCCTCCTCCTCCTCGCTCCTCGCTCCTCGCTCCTCGCTCCTCGCTCCTCCTCCTCCTCCTCCTCCTCCTCTTCCTTCTCCTCCTACGGCGAGGAGGGAGAGGACGGGGAGGAGGGAAATGGCGAAGAGAGGCCACGGGAGGGGAGGAAGAGAGAGGACGAGGGGGGAGGGAGGGTGAGGAGGGACGAGGGAACGAGCGGGGTGAGAGAAGGGGGCGACGACAACGAAGATGAGGGAGAGGGTGTGATGAGGAGAGGGGGGGGCCGAAATGAGGAGGCAGGATGTAACATAATGATGAGTAAGACGGAGCTAAGACGAATATAAAACCGGATACGGATAAATCGATTGAGAACCTCGACGATCCAGCGGAACCAGAAAATGTATCGGGCGCCGCGATCTTCTCAGAACGTTCCGGAACGCTCTGAGAGCGTTCCCGAACGCTGTGGAACGGATTTATCCTCATCCTAGCCCCGCCCGCATGAAGTCGAAAACAACGAGGACGCAGAGGACGTATGATGAGGATGGAGCCGGAGGAGAAAAATGATGCGGACGGAGTAAAAGGAGATGAGGGCGCGGAGGACGATGAAGGACCTCCTCCTACCCCTGCTGTTCATCCTCCAGGCGACCCAGCCAAAACGTCTAGGAACCCCTTGGACTGCGCGAGCGGTTCCTCCTTCTCCTCCTCCTCCTCCTCCTCCTCCTCCTCCTCCTCTTCCACTCCTCCTGCGAGGAGCGCGGGGGTCCATCTCTCCCTCCCCCTCCACCTGATCCTTCACCTGATCCTTATCTTCATCCAGCTCATACGCCTCCACCTCCCGCTGCAGCCGAGAGCAGCTCTGCCCGCGCGCGGCCGACGCCGCCCCCTGTAGCCGAGGAGCGACGTCGGGACGGCCCAGTAAAGCACCGCGTCCCCTGCTCCTTGCTTCTCCCTCACTCCCCCCCCTTTCTCCACCGCCCACCTCCTCCCATCCTCGGTCCCAGCTCCTTCATCCCCCCCCTCGTCGCCAACTTCCTCCACGACCTCCCCCTCAGCATCCTTCTCCATCTCTCCTCCCGCATCTTCGTTCCCCCCCCCTCCTCGCCCCTACGCTTTCCCTTTCAACCTCGTCCGTTCATTCCCCCTCGTTCCCTGTTCTTGGTTTCGTCTTCGGTAAATCGACAATTTGTGTCGCGTGCTGCGTCGAGCTGTGCGTGCTCGCGTTTTCCCACTCCTACGGCCTGTCCAAATGTTGAATTTCTCTGGCGCGTTCGGACGTGCAGGTGTGTTTCCTCGCTTCCGGGTCCTCCCTTCTCCCTCTCGCCCTCCACCCCTCGTCCTTAACTCCGTCGCGCCAACAGACCGACAGACGTGCCCTTGCACAAGGCCAGGCGTTTCGCGCGGGACTTCTTCACCGTTTGCAAGCCATCCAGCCGAATAGTTTCAGCCAGCTGCGCGGAAGGAGGGCTGGTCGTTAATCACATCACAACGCGGCTCTTGTCTCAGCGCCACGAGCCAGGTACAATGACGGCGGGCGTGCGGTTTTTGAGATGACGATGTTGCCCGAACGCCGCGCACAGTCGTTTTAAAACCTGCACCAGGTTGCGTGGACGGAGGCCGGCTGGTTTTCGGTTCTATCCACGACGCCGCTAATTCGTTTTCAGCATGCAGCAACTTCAAGGATGGAGGGCGGCTTCTCTTCAGCATTGGGATGTCGCTTGGAACTTCCTCACATGTCAAGACCAGAATTGTGAGGTTGAGAATGGGGGCTTCGCTTA